TTTTTGCAAGATGGAGTCTCACTCTGTCACCCAGGCTGGAGTGCAGTGGTATGATCTCGGCTCACTGCAACCTCCGCCTCCCAGGTTCAAGTAATTCTCGTGCCTCAGCCTCCAAGTGGCTGGGACTACAGGTGACCATACTACGCCCAGCTGATTTTTGTAATGTAGAGACAGGGTTTTGCCATGTTGGCCAGGCTGATCTTGAACTCCTGACCTCAAGTGATCCGCCCAGCTCAGCTTCCCAAAGTGCTGAGATTACAGGCGTGAGCCACCGCATCTGGCTGAGTAGGGAAGTAACTAAATCTAATGTGAAGAAAGAAAATTTTGAATTTAAAGCATGCATTTGTTATAATGTAAGGCCCAAGCCTTTCTGGTAAATAAAGTGAAGAATAAATCTAAACAATAACAGTTCTACAGGTTAAAGTTAATTTTTTCTTATAGTATCGCATTTCCTGAGTATTATTATACATGAAGCAACTTAATAGCCAAATTATTATTTGATTCTATGGTATAAATAATATGTGCAAGTTTGAGGAAGTTCCAGATTTTATAACCAACTTTTTGTGGTACAGATAGGACTACTCTTACACCGAGTTCTTAGAATAAATGTTGAAGTACAGTAATTGCATTGAATTGCTTTAGTTGTGGACGTTAGCTCCGAGGCTGTGGTTCATTCTGTGCCCAGTTTGAGGCAGAGGTAGGAGCAGCAGCCTTGGGGCAGATGGCTGTGACAGCCAGGGTTTGCTGAGCGTGTCGTGGAAGTTAAAGGAGAGAAAATAAGCTTGTGAGAAATTTACCAGCACCCTGACTCCCCAAGATTTCCTCAGTGCTTCTGTCTGTTAGCTTGGCAGCAATTTCCTCATAAAAACCTTCATTCTTCATTATTATTATTCTTTTTACAGTCCTGTAAGGGCACCAGAGTCCTTCATTCTTTACTTATTGAATGTGAAGATAAGTCCTCTCAGGATGTATTAATAAGTAGCGTGTTCTTGGTAACGGCCTGTTAGGCTCAGGCCCATACCAGCAGCATTGACGCATCTTCTCAAATTAATTGTCCTTTCTAAAATTTGTTTACCTCTGACACCAGCCTCCCAGGTCAGTGGAACTGAAAAGGTAAAAGGTTTCGCAAGAGGAAGGAAGTATCTGGAGTGGCATGTAACAATTTATAGCAACTTGGGTTTGAAACCAGAAATCAAAAAAATGGTTTTCTGTGTAAAATTGTCATATGTGAATTCATGGCTAGACCTTAAGATACGCTGTGTGGAAAGAAGAATCAGGTGAATCATAATACCTTTTCTCCTTAGGTAATTTTTTGAGAAAGATTTTGCAGCCTGCTTTTTACTTGCTTGGCGATGAAGATGCTGATAGCGCTCCGGAGACAAGAGGCCACGGATTTCCCCACTTTTCTGAAGCATCTACAAAACCAGGATTTTCTTTTAACGAAATGTTCACAGAAAAGGCTGTAGAAGAAAGCTGGACATTGAATTCAAAGAAACTGGAGAGTCTAGGGTCAGCTGAGCAAGCCAGTCCTGGCCTTTCATTTCTAGTTGTGAAGAATAACATGGGAGAGAAGCATCTTTTCGTAGATCTAGG